CATTGAGCGCCTCAGATCTGTCACATTCTTTATTCCTGAGGTATAGTCCTTCCTCACTTGTAAAGATTTGGAGAAGATAATTCATGCTTTTATCAGTTCAAGATTAGACTACTTCAGTACACTGTATCTGGCATTTGTTCAATCTTTTCTTTTTCATCGCCAGTTGGTACAAAATGCAGCTGCTCACTTTTTAACTAACACCTCCAAGCATGAACACGTAAATCCCATTCTTTAGTCTCTCCATTGGCTTCCAGTACATTTTAGAATTGATCTAAAAATTTTAATGTTTACCTCTAAAGCTCTTAACGGCTGGGCCCTTTCCTACCTGACAGAACTTCTAATCCCCTGCAACTTTAACCAGGCACTCCAGTCTACTGCTCAACTTCTTTTAGAAGTCCTGAGATCCAGATGTAAGCGATGGGGTGATTGCGCCTTTTCTGTTGCTGCTCTGAAATTTTGAACTCGCTCCCATTTTGACATTCATTCTGTGACAGACTTGGCACAGAATGAATGAAACTGTAGACTTACTCATTTACATAGGCTTTTACTGTACTTCCCAGTAGTGCCCTGACACTTTGTTCTTGACTTAAGCTGGGTTTCAGGTTGTCCGTACATCTATGTGGGCCCATTTTTGTGAACATGATATGTCCGGAACACCTCAAGGGAATTTCTTCAAATTTGGCTCAATTGTGCACCTGGACTCGATGACCTAATTAGGTTTTGGTGGTCAAAGGTTGTAGGTCAGTGACCTCATGTTTGTCCCATACCCGTGAATTTGACTGTTTGGCAGAGGAATATATCAGTGAAGCCATAATTCTAGTTTAGTCTTTAATTTTAATAATCATTATGTCTAACCATTCCACAGGTTCCAAGTTGTTTAAGACAGTGTTGTGGGCTGGTCAAGCCAGGTTTATTTGTAGAATTCAATGTCATGTCCAGTGCTTTAGAAGGCCCACAACAGCTGTTGTTCCAAGCTTGGCTATATCAATCTGGGAGCAACTTCCAAGAGAGATCCCATGGTTCAGTAATGGTGCAAGTCCAGTGAATGAATTTCAAATGAATCTATGCACTGCTGTGACACTAATATTTTTGGTGATATTAATGTTGCACTGTTAAATTCTGACTGGCTGTCTGTGTGTGTTCAGTGACAGTGGTCAGGTGAAGCTACACCCCAGTCTGTTCTTGCTGCTGCTGGTACTCAGTCGACTCTACCCTTCACCCATGGATGGATCTTCCTCACCTCTGGGACTTGCCCCTTTCATGCCCTTCATTATTAGGTGGGTGGCACTGTTACACACACAACACACAACACACAAACTCATACACTTTAATGTTAGTTTGTGTTATTTTTCTGGTAGTGCTATGATGTTTTCTTTTTGTACTTGTCAAATCGCTCCCTTTCCTCAGAAAAGAGATGGTGCCCTTGAATAAGAGTTTCAACTCCTACCTGTTCCAAGATGCTCTGAGAACAGCAATATAAAAAAGCAGCATGTGAATGGGGTGTAATCAAATCAAATCAAATTTTATTTGTATAGTGCCAAATCACAACAAAATTCATCTCAGGACACTTTACAAAGTAAGGTATAGACCTTACTGTTATCACTATTATTACATAGTGAAAACCCAACAAATCCCCCTTGAGCAAGCACTTGGCGACAGTGGGGAGGAAAAACTCCCTTTAACGGAAGAAACCTCCGACAGACCCCAGCTGTTGGTGGGCGGCCTTCTGCCTCGACCGTTTGGGGTGAGTGGATAGAGGAGGGACAAAAGAAGAAAAGCAACAAACAATCAAACACTGGTCAGGTTGATGTGGCCGGTGACTGCTCATCAGAAACATAGAGCTCCAGAGCCAGGGCTACCTGCAGAAAGGTACAGGGAGAGAGAGAGGACACACTATGGGAGAGAGGAGAAACAAAGTTAGTGATGTGTAATGGTGGCATATAGAAGCATAGAGGAGAGGAGAGGAGAGGGGAGGAATGCTTCCTCCTTTAGTAGTTCATCCCTTTTGTCATCGCCATCAATGAGTATGTTTCCCATCAACTTGTCTGATCATATAAAGCAGGGGTGTCAAACTCAATCACACAGAGGGCCAAAACTCAAAGCACACTTTAGGTCGTGGGCCGAACAGAATAAAAGTTTATTGAACAAACTAAAACTAAACTTCTTTTTTTTTTACATAAATATGAATCGAAACAGACAGGATACAATATTATTCCAAAATAAATAAACTTGAACTTAAAATCAGCAACTGTATTTCTGCTAAGGCTTACATTTGCAAACAACTGCTTTTTGTCTGGACACAAGACGTCGCACACTTTCATCATGCAGCTCTTCAGAAACTCTCCCTCGGTAAATGGCCGGGCTGATTTGGCTATCTCCTCCAATAAAACTTGCGTTCACAGCAGCTTCACTGTGTGATTTCACTTTGGTGAAAACATCTGCTGTGATGTAAGATTCCTCTTCAACTCCTCTACCTTCTGTAGCTTCTGCTCTGCATTCA